CCACGACCAGATAACACCTCGATATCATTAGAGTCACTATCTTCTGCATAGATAAATATATGAAAAAACGGTGTAATTAGTATTCTTAAAAAAAAAACGGTGTTCAAAGCAAAAAACAAAGAATTGAAACCATTAGATTCTTTATTCATAACCCAAGCATTCCTAGTAAAATCCCATAGAAAGGTCTTCTGAGCATGATCGCTCGTATTAACACGATCAGAACCTAAATGCACAAAACAAACATTAGAACAAACATAACGTATAAAATTTAATATACATCATTAACAAAAATATTTTACATGAAGAGTAGAAATACCTCCTTTGATAAAAAAAACTTGTGATCAAGAATAGATATATAATATGCAGAATCAATATCTACATAAAAATTGAACACGTTCGTAGATTAATATATAATAAAGGTATGTATCTGAAAGACTAAGATATAGCACTACAAAAGGTACAAAACTGTAAGATTAATAGACAGGACTACCTTCGATAACAGGATTATATGTCCGCAAGGTCCATTCGTCGAAAGCAGTATCCATAACTAACTTGCATGGATAACCTACAAATACAAAACAACTACTAATAAGTATTATAACTTGCATGAATAACCTAAAGAGGTACAACAACCTTTTTTGTGATATCCACGAAAACGTATGGAGTTACGTAACGATAATCAGTCATCTCTTTGCGATCCATATTTTGACGATGCGATTTCAACACTGACCTTAACCTGCGAGCATAAGCCTGGTTATCAAAACCTATAGTCTAATAAATTTTTAGAATTCGTTAAAAAAGTTGAGAGCATATATACTATTATTAAATTTGATTAGTTAGATATATACCCGAAGCAGTAGACGGAACTTCCCAAGTGATGATGACTTTAGATGGATGATCAAAGCTGTACTTAGACGAACACATAGTTAGGTTTGCATGCAAATAGACAAACATGATGAATCTTTTCTAAAGAGATCCAAAAAGTTAATGCTATTATAAAAACCCTAGCAAAATAAACACAGAACTCTAATAGAAAAACTAATGCGTAAATTATGAGACGTTTGGTTGAAAACGCTCATATTTATACGTCTAAACAACCTAGGATTTATTTTTTTGTGAAAAATACTAAAAGGTAATTATTGTTCTATATACGATATTATCTTCCCATGAATTTCGTAGTTATTAATTATAAAAATGTAAAGATTCCATTCTAAATAATAACAAAAGAAATTATGACATATTCTTTTATAAAATATTTAATAAATAAAAAATATTTCCAAACATTGAATTATAACTAAAATCTAAAAATTAAAAAAAAAAAACTAACCACAGGATTCGAACCCGTGAGCATTCGATGAATGGACAAAGCACCTAACCAACACAGCTACCATCTCATTCAGCACAAACGACATATTGGAAAGTAACCATAATGTTTTTGTATTTGAAAATTGGACCACGTTATTCGGCAGTTAGAAATACGGCCCATGTTTGATTTTTTAAAATGATTTTAGTATTTAACATATGGTTTAATGACCATTTAATTTATGGTTTTAGTGGTAAAAATAGTTGATCAACTAATCAGAATATAACATCAGCTGATCAATCAGAACATAAGGAATTCATTAATCAAAACGACACAAAAATTTGTGCGTTAAACCACAGTCCGATTCACTTCTTAAATACTATAATATATATTGACTCTCAGTCATATCAAATCTTTGATAAACCTAAAATTTTATATTTTTTACTATTTCATCATCTTACATTAAGATTTATATTCAATTTTGATGAAATCCGAAAATAAAATAAAAAAATATTTCATTTCATATCAATCTTAGAAGTTAGAAATGAAAGATTACAGAGGGTAATATTAAAAAATAAAAATTATCAATGAAACACATATTGGAAAGTTGAAAATGAAAATAGACGTTGAGTTTTAGAGAAGGGGCGAGAGAGAAGAAAGGGTGAAAGCACCAAAAAAAATTAAGACAAAAACGGAAGACGATTTTTTTGAACCGATCCAGGTTACTAATATTCGGTCGGGTTTTGCCGTTTTTACCGGATTTATCTGGATTGTTAAACCCCGATTGGATAATTAGCCGAGTAGCGAGTTAACCGATCCAACCGGCCGGTTCAGTCTGGATCTGAAAACATTGTCCCTCTCATTTACACGCAAATGTAAATCTCTCCTCTATTTATTCTAAAGAAGGCTTTGTTCTTTTGTCTAAAGCAAAACAAAAATTCAGCCGGTTTTGAGAAACAGAGTCGCTAAAAATGTAAATGTCTTATCATCCCTCCATGTTTATTGTTTCTTATTTCTACTGAAGAAGGATTTCATAGATAAAAAGTCGGTTCCTTTATTTTCTCACATTCCCCTTTCCTTATTTTGGTTAACACTGAACTTAACAGACAAACTTGGATTATTCTCACCATATCGTGTTTTCTTTTGTTATAGAGAAGAAAAAAAGGTTCATTTCTTTTTGCTTATTACTTTTTCATTCAAATCTTTGGTTTTCCGCTAATCTAAATGAAAAAAACTTGGAACTTTTTTCTTTAGGTTCTACCTCGACGAAAAGGCATGCTCTGTTCTTATTTTTCTCTTTTTGGGTTTCATTCTTTCATGCTATAAACACAATGATAGATGAATCTGTGTAAATGTGTTTATCATCTTCATCACAATACTAGAAAAATAATTAGAAAAAGGTTTTTTTTGTTTACTACAGCTTCCCCAAAAAAAGTTCAATTTTTGCACAAAGCATTCTGATTTTAGGTGGCTTCTTCTTCGTTCTCATTACCTCTCAATTTTTTTTTCTTGTCAGATTTGTTTTCTGAGCTTTTGTTGAGCTTGAGCTTCTGGGTCTCAAATCATTACTCGAAACTATTACGGTACTGTTGTCACTATTTTCCTCGATTTGCGCGATTTCGATTGTATTGAAAACCGATGGAAAAATAAACCCTAATAGTTTATCGGGAAGAAGTTAATGCCTCTGTAACGGAGTTGCATAGTTTTTTGTAGGATTATTGATAAAGTTTTAATCTTTATTGGGCTTTATTTACATTGTTGGTTATTGATATAGATTTTGTTTTTGATTTTAACAGATGGAAGAAATTTTTCCTACGCTTGCTCACCTTCCTAGGCAACTCAGTACAAATTTCCAACAAATGATTGATTGGTTACGAGGGTGCATTTCGCAGGGTGAACTGCCAAAGTACAGAGATTTGCCAAACCTCTTTCGGATTTCTGACGAAGAGGGAAGGTTGAGGTGTTTGTTTAAGAAATTTGATGATGGAGATGAGATATCAGCAAAGAAAGAAGCATCGGTCTATCTTTTAGACCACCCGATGGATGCGCACAGATCAGAATCACCAAACATTAAGGGCTTCTCAGGTGTGCTGCCGACACTGTTTGTTAGATTTTCTATTGGTAATGCCAACCACATGGGAGTTTTGATTGAATACATGGAAAGTCTATGTGTCATTGGTCATTACGAGATCAAATTGGAAAAGATGAACATGGGTGAACTAGTTGCTATTGGAGCGCTTGATATTCGTTTTGGTAATATGGACAGGAACCAAGACAATATTCTTGTCCGAGAAGATGTAGATGGCATAGCTCACTTTACACCCGTCGATCATGAGATGATTTTTGGTAATGCTTACAACATTTGCAGTCCATGTTGGTTAAGTTTGGTGAAAGGTTCTGTCAACAGCCCAGAGTTTATAGATTATGTGGCCCGGTAGGATGCAGATAGGGATATTGAGTTTTTGACTCTGTGTGGGTGGGAGCCTACTTACGCTAACGAGTTCAGGGTTTGCACGAATTTTCTGAAAGAAGCGGTTTTACAAGGAATCACACTTCACCATATTGGGAATTCTGCTGCGTTTAAGTGTGCTAACTTCGACTATAATTTGCAGATGATGGTAAATAGTGTTGAGAATGGTGACAATTTCATTGTCAACGTGAGAAATCTAATGAGAGAGCGGCTCACGGAATATCGTGCATCACTTTGAGAAAAAATGAAGATTGACAGAATTTTATATCTTCCCTTTATCTATGTATTGTTTTTGACTTTCTAAGTTGTAATCTTGTTGACTTCGTCTTCTTCCTTTCTTCTTCTAATTGAAGCTACTTTCTTGTTTGCTAGCTTTAATCAAGAACTCAACTTTCAACGAATCCAATCATAATATTTATATATCTATATTCTGATTTTGATTAATTTGCGTTCTGATGATAATGATGATATATAAGCTCTAGCCTTTGTTCTGGATCACCCGAATGGGTTTAACTGATAATATTGTGAAAGAAAATGGTGAAGAGAATGAACCTAAGCCGCCAAACCCGGCTGCAGAACATTGTGATGTAGGCGGAATCATGAAGAGGATAAAGGAGAAATGGTTGGGTCGGCTGAATAGAGTGCGTAACAAGGAAAGATCAGGGGATCCTGCGGTTTTGGGGAGTAGGATCGAGAGAGTTAAGGTGAAGGAGTTTAAGAAAGAGGCCAAGGAGCTTTCTGCTCTTTTCAAGGGTCAAGAAATACAAGCTCATGAAGGAGCGATCCTCGCTATGAAGTTTAGTCCTGATGGCAGGTACCTGGCAAGTTCAGGTGAAGACAGGGTTTTGCGGGTTTGGAGCATTGTTGAAGACGATAGATGTGATGAACATGACGTTCCCAAGATCGATCCTTCTTGTATATACTTTGAAGTGAGCAAACTCTCTGAGTTGAGACCTGTGGCCGTAGAAAAGGAGGGATCATTGATGAGTCAAGGAAGATAACAGAGTCCGCTTGTGTTATCATCATTCCCCCAAAGTTGGTAAATAATGATGCAAAAAAAACCATGACCCAATCGTTTTCACACGTCCATAATTATATTATATTGGGCTATAAACCCGTTAATAATGTTCTCTCGTTGTTATTGGGCTTGGTAGCCCTCGCAAACACATAGAGAGAGAGAGGACATATGTGCAACCTCCCTGACGCCTTCTTTAATCTCAGCAACAGACGAGATATTCCCCGTCCTGAATCCCTGATAATGGAGGAATCTACACTCAAACGAAATTCGAGTTGTCCGGATAATCAGTGTGCTAAGGCCATGCGTTCGACTTTGATTCTGCGGCCGAAAAGCGGATCTCCATTGCTGTTGCTGTTTTCAGAAGAGGATGGTTGTCGTCTGTACAGCCCAGAGGAAGATAGGGTTTACGAGACAACGAGGAGTGACTTTTCAGGATACCGAATCCTGGGAAACTCGGGTAAGTGGTTCCTGGTGGTAGATTCTCGATCAGATCTCTATATTATAGACGTGTTTAGCGAGGAGAAGATCCATCTCCCACCTCTAGAATCAATGAAAGGTGGTTATTATAAGCTTGAGCGAGTAGCAGATAAGGAATTGACATGCAAATTGATTAGTGAGTCGTATCGATCTGGGGTTGTTTTAACGGCCATGGATCTGAGAGGTCTTTTGTGGGTAGACGACAAGAGTGGAAACTACGTTGTTGTTTGGAAATATGTTGAGCTGGGTAGACAATTTTTAGGTTATTGCAAGAAAGGGGATGATCATTACACCGAGATTCCAACAGCCAAGTTGGGTGATGTTCGCAGGGAGTTACGAGGCCAACGTGATCTGGTACTCAAAGGTTACAGTCTTTACATCTTCACGTCTTATGATTACATTCGACACCTGGATCTTTCTGGACAAGATGGTTTCAAGGATGTTTCCGAGACCCATAGGTTTCCAATGTGGAGAGATGATTATATGAATGAGGAACTACTCGGAATGACGACCATCTCATGCCGCGATACCATTGTTGTTACAACATCAGGAGAGGCTTTGATTGTCCATAGTAGAGGTTACGAGTCTAACGAAAACTTTGAAAAACATAGGATATTCCGCGTGTACAAGAGGGATTCTAAAGATCTAGACCCCGATACCAGAGACACAAGGCTTGTTCAGGTGGATTCTCTAGGTGATGAGGCACTGTTTCTTGATATGGGCTTCACTGTACCTGCTGACCATACCCTTGGTATTGAGCCAAACTCCATCTACTTCACACATGATAACCGTCTCCGTCCTGATTGGAGGACTCCACGCTTCGACATCTGTGTGTACAATCTTGCAACAAAGACCACCAAACGCTTCCCGGTTCTCTCCAACTTTAACCTCAAGGATGCTCGGTGGTTTCTCCCCTAGTGATATATGATTCGTGTCGTGTCCTTTCTTTGAGCGATTCTCTTGCTTTTGTTATTCCTCGGGGACTCCTTTGCTTTGTTTCTTTCCGCTGCATCCTCCTCATGTTGAGCTATTTCCAGACTCTTAATTATCCTCGTTTTTCTTTTCATGTATAATCTATGACATTGCTAAGTGTTTAATTATCTTTTTAAGACTTATGTTTAATTCAGTATCTGATTTCTCCTCGTGCTTCTCACAAAGATTGAGACCTCCAAGTTAGAAAGATGAAGAAGAAAGCATTTTAGACTTGTTAGATTGGGTTCGGATTTTGTAATATTGTTGAAATAGCTCTAAACACTTTAAATTCTTATAGGTCAAATCGGTGAAATCATAGAAGAAAAAGTTACTTGGAGCTATTTAGAAGATGAAAAGATGTATTCTGCTCGATCAGTGACTCTTTCTATGAAATTTCAGTCCTTAAAATAGGGGACTGAGAAAAATTTTGTAAACTTTTCCAGACCAAAAGTCATAGATTTCTTGCGGATTAAGCTGTGTCCAGACTTATCCCACAGCTCACATTCTTCAGCGAAAATACGTCTTTGTAATTTTGCTGATTCGAAGTCAAAATCTCGACAAATGTATTTGTCGTTTTCAAGAATTAATAATCCAAAGAGTAATATGTCTGCAGATAGCATTGGGAAGAAACGAAAAAAGACCACCTTGGTGATGTCAAAGAAGAAGAGGAAGCTTCTTCCCATGCATTTTTGAACTGGGCTTAGAGTCTTAGACCATGAAGCAAGAAGCCTTACTACATTTAAGTAGGACCAAAACTAGAAGCCTTGTCTTTTATTTGTAAGAAAATAACAATCAATGGTAATGGAAAAATAAAGATTGTTGGTAGGAAGGGAAGAGAAAGGACCACAAGAAAACAGAGCAGGAATAATGAAAGGAGAGAGGAGAAGCATAGTATGGTCCCAAAGTAACACCTAAGAGACTAAAGAGTCTGTGACAGTACCTTCAAAGACTTTGAGAGTTAGCATCAAAAACCCTTCCCTTCTGATTTCTGCACATCACTAAGGTATCCAACCTCCCTTTCAAGGCCCACACACACATTTTTCATTTCTCCAACAAATTTATTCAATTTTGATGGGATCATACATATTTAAGAGACAACTAATCTAAAAACTCGTTTTTTTTTCAAAAAAAAAAAAAATCAGACTAAAGAAATAACTTTGCCTCTTGTCTGATTTTTATTCGATTGCTTTCTTTGTAAAACAAAGAAGTGACTTTGGAGACTATATCAAAATTCCATTATACAAGGAGAATACGATCTTTCAAGTTTCAGTTTCATCCTTGTCATTTCTAACCAATGATGTTCAGTGACTGAATATCTTAGTATTATTTTTACATAATCACTAATCTTATGCACAACATAGGGCATCACCAAGTTATTAAGATATTTTCAACCGGTTGGGTAAAATAGTAAAATTTTAAAACCTGAAACCATATAGCTTTTCGAAAAATCAATATCAAATAGATGGCAATCTACATCGAACAACCGATACTATATATTTCGAATTCGACTTATAACAATATAAAATAAGTTGTGCATAGAATTGGTGTCGTTTGTAAACAATGATATGTATTTTGATTACTAATAAAGGAACTTTAGACGGAAAAAAAAAAAAAAAAGAATTGGTGTCTTTTCGGGTTTTATTGTTTTAGTGAAAGTGACAACTGTTTCGGTCAAGTAAATTCCAGCGTAATTACTGGGTATTAACTAGTAGGGGTACTGTTGATCATATGTAAACAAAAGGGTGGAATTTAAAATGTCTTTCGAGTTTGGTGCCTTCAACTGTAACAATAAAAGAGAAATCATATTTGCATGCTTGATCCCCGAGATAAAAATGATTATTATTTGCAAAAGCTACTTTTCACCCCACCATTTGTCGTCTCCTTAAAATATTTGGCCCTCGTAAATACTTAACGAACGCCATCACAAGAATTTACAACTAGTAAATTTGTACAAAATCAAACATGATCATTTTTACTAATGCTTCTTCGGTTTTTCTTTAACATCAAACCATTACAGATTCTAAAGCAATTTTTTTTGGGGATAGTTTAACGCAATTGATTAGTTATATTTCTCTAATCTTCTGTATCCTATAAAGAAGAGAAAGAAAAAAGGTAAACAATTAAAGGCTTGTTATCAAATACGTAATAAAAAAACCGTATATAAAAGCTATTTTTCGGTGAATATTGTCCTCATGTGATTGACGCCACTCTTTCTCTAATCGCCGTGATGTTATGAGTAAAAATACTATCATTTCATTATGGCTTTTCTTTGAACTAAGTTTGATCTATTTCTATTTCAATTTTTTAGTCATTTTTTTTTGGCTATTTTCGGTCTATCTTTGACTGATCAGATCAGAAAATGTTTGTCTTTCAATTTTTTTTAGGACTTTGCCATTTTTCTTCACTCTCAGTAAGTATAGTTGAAATTATGGAAATATAAGAAAATATCAAATTTTCCCCGCAAAATATTAACGTAACTTTTTTACATATCAATACTACATGTCTTTTTTTTTTATAGAAAGAAATTACATACTGAATCTCTGTTTTTGTAATTAGAGTTTTATCAATAAATATGATAAACCGATATTTTATTATAATACAAACTGCGATAACATTTTTTATGAAAATATTATATTTCAAATTTAGTCCCTGATATTATTCATTTCTATTCCCTTACATCTTCCTTTCTTTTGTAATTAATGAACGAATTCAATTAGGTTACATGATAATATAATTAATAAAAAGTTGAACATGTTGTTGCTTATCTCGAGTCAACTGTTCAACCACATAAGTGAAGACAAAATGCCAACATTTGTTGGTTTTAAATTGTAAACTGTAAAGTAAAGAAAGTAAACAGAAACTGTTGTTAGGACTTAGGTTGTCAGAATAACCAACTATTACCGACATCATTATTTTCTCTTGTTCCCTTATTAGAAAGACAAATATCATTATCACTTTGAAAACAATGTCTATCCGTGCGACTTTGATTAATAAATAATTAATGTCGGGCTTTCTTATAATTAGAGTTATATTCTCTAATTAGTGTCTCCCCTCTTTTCCCTACATTTAGTGTTTCTAATTGGGATCATAATCATTTCTTTCTTTATAAAAGAAAAAGCTCAAATTGCTACATACGACACTACATTTTTTTTTACGTCCTATACCGATCCAAAATATTGGACAAATTACACTTTCAACTTTACAAGTCCATAAACTCAGTAAGCAGACAGAAATAAGTAATGTTTTTATACTTAAAAATCTATAGTTGCCTAGTTGATCGATCGATGGATGATCGACTTACTACAAAACCGATTAATCCACATTATATTTTAGTGGCTCTTGTAAAATAGTCCTCATATTACTGAATAATTTTACCGACAGTTTTTTTTTAAATTTCATTTTGCTTTAACTCACTCTCTTTTTCCTAGAAGGTGTAGTTGTCGTTAATTAAGGTTAAAATGATGATAATAGTTATGTGTCCACGGTTGGGAGTTGGCCCCATTTGGCTACCGACGTTTACTATTCTCTACTTTAAAATTAATTTGTAAACCGTTTGATCAAGCATACTTCTACGAATTGATCTTTGAATTAAGGGTTTTCTGCCAAAAAAACCTTCACATGGTTTTTTTCATAATAACCCATGACCTCAAATTAATGCAAATTAACCCATCACATTAGGGTCAAACCACAAAACAACCTTCTTATATATCGATGATGTGGCAAAACATGCATCCAAAAAATAGACGAGAAATTAAACACTGCGTTTTGTTGTGTAAAAATGGTATACAGTTTAAAGTTTAGTTGACATTTTAGACTCCAAAAAACAATACACGAAATTGAACTTCTCTAAAATCGATTTGGGGAAAAATTAAAATTAGAGTTCTTTGTATTTGGGAATTCTGGGTTCGATTTCTTCTTAATTCATAGGGGAATGATGAGGGCTTTGGGGAATATTGTTTAGGTTTAATTCGGAGTTCGATTCTGGGTTCTATTGTGTGTTCGAATCGGGTTTAGGGTTTTTATTTCTTTCTTTGCGATCCCACCTTTTGACTGTCGATGATTCCAACGATGAGGTTAGAGTTCTCTTCATGTAATGAGTTGTTTTCGTTATGTAATTATCTTAGATTATAGGTTTATGAGTTGTCGGTCTATTTTGCAGTGAGCAACCAGAAAGGTTTGATCTATTTCTTGTCGTCGGAGGATATTGGTCGAAAGAAGATGGATATGTGGGTGGAGAGCCACATCAAATAGGTAGAGAAGTGGTTCAAGGATTCTCAATGAAGACAGTAAAAATCTTACTACAAGAGCTTGGATACAAAGACAACATGAAGAAAATGGCATGGTTTGCACCCGAAGCTCCTGCAGAGAAGATAGATATCATTGATGATGAAGGGCTACGACGAGCTGTTTCATATGCCATTGCTTCAGGTGCGTTAACTTTGTTTATAGTTAGAGAAGATGATCCAGATTTGGTTAGCCGTGGTGGTCGTGATCTAGGAATTTTTAGTGATGATGAGGTTGAGGATAATAATGATAATATCTCTGGTAATGGTAGTAGTTCTGATGAGAGTGATAGTAGCTCTAATGAAGAAGATGATGGTAATGTTGCTGAAGATGGTAATGGTAATGGTAATTCGGGTAATGTTGGGGTTAATGAAGATGATGCTTATGTTGGGTTGAATGAAGTTGATTTGAATGAGGACAGGGATGTACCAGTATGGGACCGTTTTTAGCAGTGATAATCAACCAAGAGTTGAAAGAGGAGATGAAACGAAGTGTAAGAAGTTTGAGCTTGGGCAGGAGTTTGCATCGCTTCAGTCTTTTAAGAGTGTTATTCTCAACTATGCGGTGAAGAAGAAGTATGATATCTCGTTCTTCAAGTCTGATAACCAGAGAGTTGTTGCTGTGTGTTCAGATCGAGCTTGTCCTTGGATGATATCTTGTTCCATTAATAGTACTAGTGTTAGGCCCATGATTAGAGCTTTGCAGGAAGAGCATGATTGTACATGGTAAGGACGGGTATCCATACTGACTAATGCACGGATTGCTGAGTTGTTCATCGATGAGTTTAGAGTAAATCCTGCATTTTCAGCCAATCAGTTATGTGCCAAATTGCAAAAGAAAAACATCAATGTCCCTTGGACTATATGCGAGAGGACTAGGCTGCGCTGCTTGCAAACTTTCGATGATGAACAAGCTGAGTCATTGGCTAGATTACATGACTATGTTGGTGAGATAAAGAGAACAAACCCTGGATCAACAGTCGAAGTTGAGGTTTCTGGTGGTGTTTTCCAAAAAAATTATGTATGCTTCAAGGCATTAAAAGATGGATGGAAGAAAACTTGTCAAAGAATGATACATATAGATGGGACATTCTTAAAATGGAGACAGACGGGTCAACTGTTAGTAGCATGTGGAAGAGATCCTAATGACCAAATGTTTCCTTTTGCTTGGGGAATAGTCGATGCTGAAACTACTGATAACTGGAAGTGGTTCTTTCAGCACTTGATAGACGATTTAGAGCTTGAAAGCAGCAACTGTTTGACACTCATGAGTGATCAATGCAAAGGTCTGATAGGGGCTGTTAAAGAAGTTCTTCCATATGCTGTACACAAACTATGTGCACGCCATGTGTACCACAATTGGAAGAAGAATTATAGTGGTGCTGAGTTTGAGGATTTATTTTGGGGTGCTGCAGATGCCTATTACATAGCATCTTTTAAAAGGAAGATGGAAGCAGTGAAATTGTTATATGTTGATGCATATGAAGCCTTGAAGATGAATGCAAAAGGCTTCTGCAGGTCTGTTATTGTTTTTCTCATTCATTACGGCCTTATGATATCTGGTGATGCATACGAAAACTTGATTTTCTTATTGTTTGTTGCTGTTTGTTTTTGTTTGTGCAGGGCTTTTTTGATGAATATTCAAGAGTAGCTGCAGTGGAAAACAACTTGGGAGAGTCATTTAATGCAGCTATTCGTATTGCAAGGACAAAACCTGTTGTTGAAATGCTTGAGGAGATAATAAGAAGAGTAATGGTATCCAATGAGCAGAAAAGGAAGGAAGCATTTAATGGTAGGGGTATTTACACTCCTAGAGTGAAGGCACTGCTTGATCAACAAATAGAGCTTGCCAAGAACTGCACACCTTTGCATTGTGGACTAGGTAAATACGAGGTAGGATACTTCAACGATATGTTTGTGGTCCATTTAAGAGGTGATGTGAACTGTGCATGCAGGATGTACATTGTTAGTGGTATACCTTGCTGTCATATAGTTTCTGCACTTTGTTTTGAAAAAAATGTTGATCAAGACCCGAAGAAGTTGATATCTGATTGGTTTACAATGGAGAAGTTGAGGGCATGTTATGAGACCCCAATGGAGCCAGTTAATGGCATGAATCTTTGGGAGATAGTGTCAACTGAGAGAGTGATGCCACCTGCATATAAACGGCCACCAGACAGACCCCCAGGTAGTAAGAAAAGAAAGAGAGAGAAGGGTGAACCAAGAGAGAAAGGCAAAATGAGCAAAGTTGGAATGAAAATGGTATGTATCTGACTATATCTGTCGTTAATGCTGCTACAAATATATGTCGTTAACTAACATGTTATCCGGTTATAGCATTGTAGGAATTGTGGACAAGAAGGACACAAAATAAATAAATGCAACAATCCAACTGTCATCCGACAAAAGAAACCACCAGGGAGACCAAGAAAGAATCCAACTGAGACAGGCACTTCTTCACAGCAGACAATCCATGAGACCACATCTTCGCAGCCGATACTAACTAGTGTGAGAGCTCTTATAAGAGCTCAAACAGGTGCACCACACAGTCTATCTCAGCCTACTCCTTCTGAAGGTGTTACAAGTGAAGCGTGGAAGACCTTGAAAAACCTGTCTCAACCCACTGTAACTGAAGGTCCAACGAGCCTGTCCTCAGCATTCCCAAGAGCTAAGCCTGGAAGACCACGTAAAAATCAGTATCATGATGTTGGATCTTCTCAACAAGTTCCTACACGTCCTCCCCGTGAAGAGCCAGTCTACGATCCAGGACCAATACAAATACCAAGAGTAAGTTTTTAAAAATTCTGTGATGACTAATGATATTATGTGTTGGTGTTGGTGATTTATTTGTGTTTGTCAATGGTTGCAACAGGAAGGTTATGGCGTTTTCACAAATCTGACAACAGGAGATGACTACATTTCTGTTGGCTCACGTGTGACTGATACACGTGACAACACCATCTTACCCACAAGTCTTTATCGAGCAAGAGAAAAACAGAAGATGGCTGTTGGTCGTGGTCGTGGGAAAAAGTAATAAGTAGTGTATCTGTTACTGTCCTATTGTGTTTTGGGCTGTCTTTTTGAGTAAAAACCTTATGGTATGATGAGGGATGTCTTTTGGTGCAAAAACCTTATGGTATTGTCTATCTTTTGGTGTATGAATCGTATGAACCTAATTTATGGTATTTTTTTGTATGAATCTTTATGCTCTTTTGTTGTATGAATCTTATGGCATTTTGGTTTCATTCGTATTATGACTTGTTGTATGATCCTTGTGGTATTGTTGTATGAACCTTATGACATTTTGGTAGATGATGGATTAGGACTTGTTGTATGACACTTATGCTGTAATATAGGACTAGATAGTCTTACATAATAACACATACGATACACCTTACCAAATACAATAAAAGACAGATTCTGAAATATAAAACACAAAAGTAGATAGTCTTAACAAAGGATTAGATAGTCTTACATAACAACACAAAAGTAGATTGTCTTACATCAATTGAAATTAGCTTACAACACATAACTAGATATTTTTACATAATACCCTTTAATGTTTTATGGAAAATGAAGGGTTCAACCGATAATGCAACAACAAAGAACACAAGCTTACTTCACCAAGCTAACAAGCACACCAACAACAACGATGGTAACAACGACGGCCACAACCATCTTCACCTCTTTTGCTTCCTTTTCCTTCACATCAAGCAACTCCTTCACCATCTTCAATTCATCTTCTCCAAGTTTAGAACACTCAGAGTGGTAATGTCCATAGCGAATCCTAGCCTCAAGAGTCTTCAAATCTCCCTTCACTTCCATCAACTCCTCAGTGAATGCTTCATCCCACCACTTCCACACATGAACTCCTCCATCCTTCAAAAAAAAAATTGCTGATTCAACATACTAACTTCATCACTCACTTTTCAAATCATTTGTAATTGAATTTTCATCACATCATCTTAACAAGCATTCGATTTTCATCACAACATCCTAACAAGATTTCAATTTTCATCAGAGTATACTAACATCCAAACTTCATCACTCAATTAGCAAAAAAAATTCTGGAAATAAATTTTCACCACTCACTTCTTGCTCGTGAATAAAGGAACTCACAGAGTTGTTAGAACATGTATAGAAGCGCCTCCCCGGATTTGTGATTGTGTGAGAGGTAACAAGAACTGTAGAACCACCGCAAAAGCACTTTGTGGGAATGCCGTGAAGACCATGGCGACGACCCCTTGAGCTAATGCTTGACCTGGATGAATCGCTGCTATGACTGAGTGTCATCTTTCTTGTTAACAAATGAGTTGACTCAAAATTTTCAGAAAAACCCATAAATCCAGAATTTTTAAAACCAGATTCTCAAACTAATACTCTAAATAACCAACCCAGAAACCAGCGATGAGTATAGAATAATGCACAAGCTCACCGTATCTGCTAGTTCAGGAAAAAGCTTCGATCTTCTTCTTTGAAACTTCCATTTCGCTTATACCGCTGCAAAGAACTAGAACCCTAATTTCGATTTTTTCCCCAAATCGAATGCTCCCACATATGAGACATAATGCCTTTTAACATGTTCCCTTTCATTTAAAGCACGTGTCTATAATGTTGGTCGTAAAAACAACATGATTTTTCCGTAATTCAGAACGCTTCGTTTTGATTCCCGTAAACGATATAACGATGACTGAACGGATGGGCCGTTTAGCGGGTGACTTCGTAGGTGAGTGGTTTGACTTGCATTTTTGTGAGTTCATGGGTTTTTTTGCAAAACAAATTAAGGTGCTGGGTTTTTTTGCAGAAAACCCTTGAATTAAATCACCAACGTCCGTTATGTAATCATATTTCAAAAAGCATTATGTTTTTGTTTGAAATGTAGACATTGCTTAATGGGTTTCGGCCAAATTGATAGGAAACTTAGAATAATTTAACATAATGTTCACAATTGACAGTGGTTTTGACTTTAAAGACTAGAAACAAAAACTTGAGTTAGCCAGATGATTTTCTTAGCTAACCACTTTTCATAAAGCATCGGAACATTATTATCGTCCTTACATATCTAATTTTCAAAGCATCTTCTTAAAATCTAAGGTAACAGCTAAGTTATGTATTGTTTGAAGATTTATGTTTTACCGTATATATGTGTACAATATATAGATAACGAACTTCTGAGTTCGATTAGAAATTTATTGTTTTAAGAGCGTTGGAAACTGTCAACAAAGATAGTTAAGAACATATTTACTCAAGCTCGGCTCAAAGAAAATCATTACCATTGAATGAAAGAAGGGTTATGAGCAATTGAGCATAACTCAAAGAAAAATAATTAGACATTTTTGCTATTTGTTTTTACAAAATAGGTCCTTAGAAACTAAAGCTATTTAAAAAAAACAAAAAATGGACCCAATGCAACCTCCGACACCCGTAAAGAGCCAAACATGTGGTTACTATCAAATTTTGGAAGTTTACATATCAAACAAAAATCATAAAATCATAGAATTAAAGTTGTAACATCCCGACTTTTGGTTAACCAAATATCGGATGTTACCAGTTCCTAATTTCGGTTTTATTAAATTAAACCATCTCTATTTCTTTTTCTTTTTATTTTTTTTTTATTTGAGTTTTTCCTAATTTCTTTCTAAGAGTCCATTAAGCTCAACCCACCTATTAAACTTCCATATAAATACCTAAATAAATCCCTAAAACCCTCATTAAGCTCCTAATCAACCTTAGCCACCTTTTTCTTCTCTCCTTCTCTCTTCTCTGCGTCGAGCTGCTCTCTTCCTCTCTCTCTCTGCGTTTTCTTCTTCTTCTTTCTCTCTCCTGGCCGTGTCTTTCTCTCTCCTTGCCGCGGCCGCCGCCATCCTCCAAGCCTCTCTCTCCGCCGAAGCTTCCTTGCCCAGCCAAGATGTCTGCGTCGCCTCCTTCTCCTTTGGGTGAGATGGGAGCTGATTCTGATGGATCTCCTCTTAGATCTCCTTCTCCTTTGCCTCCTCCTCCAGTTTCTCAGCCTTCTAAGCCAAGGTGAGGACTCTGTGGCTTCATCCTCTCTTACATATGCATGGTTGACTTTTAAGTGGTCTTTTCTTAGATCAGGCTTAGATCTGCTTGTTAGGGTTGTTAGAATTGTTTAGGACCTGGATCTATGTTGCCTGTTTGTTGATGATTGCTGGTTGCTGGTGGAATGAGATAATTAACCTGAACTTGGATCTAAACTTATTTGGACTTTAAAATATTGACTGTGTGATGTTGACCTGTTTGATGTTCCTTTTTGTTACAATTGGTATCACCGAAAGTGCATCTTAATAATAGAAGGACCTTTAAGAAAAGAATGGTTATATGAAATGGATGATTGTGCATAGTAGATCTGTGATAGGACCCCTGGCTCCTGGAGGCGGGAGTCAGTGTTGTTTGTTGGCTATCGCTGTCGTGGAGGCACGGCTAGAGCCATCGCTGGAGTGGATTAGCGATCCACTGGTTATTGAGCCATCCAAGGGGACCGCTGGGTACAGCTTTCTGGTGAGACCGCTATGAGCAGCCGTCTGAGTGACCGTTAGTGTCATAGCCTGTCTTGGTGATTGCTGTGGACCAGTCTATGTGACTGGCAGAGTAGACCTGACTAATGGGTATGGTAATAGGCCAGCCATTGGATGAGATTATTCTGGTTACCTTTCCGGGTGAGGCATGGGGGCCTCAGGTGGCTGTCCACTGTTATTGGCAAAGGTCAGAGACCCGCTGCTTGTGTAGTTGCTTGTAGGGCTACCCTTGATTGCTGTGTGATTGATTGCTATGAATGAACTGTCTATATATGAGTAATTATATATATATATATATATGTTGTGTGGGCTTGCTTTAGGATTAGATCTCTTAAAACCAATTTATGCTAGTTTGATGATGTTATGGGTCTCTTTAAGGCTCATCCTCACTGAGTAATTCTAATTACTCACCTCTCCTCTTCCCTTGTCTTTCAGGTTTAGTAGAGAGATCAGCCTAAGTCTATGTTGTTGATTATTACATGGGCGTTTTTCTGGCAATCTTGTGTGCTCATCAAATCGGATATCTTATCGGACACAGTTCGATAACCGATCTAACATATCCGGTTCCCCGCCTCTTAGAAGTCCAGGAATGTTACAAAAGTGGATGAGGCTATTTTACCCACACATTAAATCATTAATGTATATTATAATAGTTCAATTCATATAAACATGCCTACATGAATTCCACGTGTTTGTTCAGAAGTTTAGGTATTGACATTATTATATAAGAATCCTTCGACAAATGGCATGACAATTTAAATTGGATTGAATGAATTAAAAGAAGATCTGACGTTGAGTTTTAGAATAATCTCTGAAGTTTTAGACTGTTTAGTACGGCTCAGAGAAATTGATTTTTAACCTCGATTAACAACAAGATGTTAAACATAAAACTGTTCACTTGTATTTTCTTACAAAATTGGGAGACTTATTCAGATTTTTATGTCATTTTTGCAAAACCAAGGTAACCTTCTTGAACAAGGGATGTGTTTCTTTCTTTAAGAAATTGATCAAATCAAGATCGATATTTATATTAATTTATGTACATTCACAATACAGAATTACAAGTTTTACAAATTCCCCACAGACCAAATCTTGACCTAAAACTCCGGTCCGAATCTTTCCTCTATAAGAAACACAACTTAAACTGCAACAAAAAATGGCGATCAAAAGTTGGTCACACTTCTACCACAAGACCCTGATGGTCCACAGGAGAAGATCTACACTCTGATTCCAACGGTCTCGACTCAGCTATCTTAGCCGCTACTTCGGCCATCACAAGCCTCGTAAGCAAAAGTCCAGCCACAAACGCAGCTCCCATCAACATCGTGAAAACCGCGGTCCAGCTACTCCTCGACGATATATAACCGGTCAGCAACGGTCCAACCGCCGCTCCAACGGACCCGGTTCCATCGATGATAGCCGTTACGGTCGCAAGAGCCCTCGAGTTTCCTTTCAACGAGCTATGCGTCCCGAGATCAGCTGAAACCGCCGTGGTGATCAAAGCGTAAGGTCCATTAACCAACATTCCGGTCAAAAACATGAGAGACGCGTTGGCTAACAAAGAAACGTGTCCGTAGCTCCGGTAAAAGAACAAAGCCGGGATCGAACAATACATGAAACTAGCAGCTGTTATGGCTCTTGCTCCGATTCTGTCTGAAATGTAACCGGCCATGATCCCTCCGACCACACCTCCTACATCAAACATTGTCGAAAGATTTCCCGCTGTTTCGTCTGATAAATACTCACCTTCAATTGCTGCAAATGATCATATACACACATAAATGATAATCAGTTACATGAACCTAAACAAGAACTCTTAGTAGTTTTTGTACATGCCAAAGAAATGTTTAATTACCTGTGTGGCTAACGTAAAAAGGAAGCCAATAGAGGAAAGTGTAAGCGACCAATTTAGCAAAGAAGAGACAAAGAGCAAAAGGCGCAACTCCAGGGATCCTCCAAGCTTCAATAAACCCAACGGCTCGTTTCTTGTCATCAGTTTCAGAATCTGAAGAGCTCAAAAGCAAAGGAACATTCACAGAGCCGTCTCCGATTTTCTCACTAGAGTCAACAACATCCTCATCTCTCTCTGCTCCAACAATCTCTGGATTCACAGGCAAGAAAGCGAAATTCACAAACCCTATCAACACGATAACCACACCAGGAACCACAAAAGACCATCCCCAACCATATCTAAGCATCGCAGCAGCGATCAACGAGCCAGTGATGTTCCCAACAGAAGTGTGTGCGTTCCAAATCCCCATGATCAATCCTCTCTTCTTCTTGTTAAACCAGTTTCCCACCACAGCAACCACTGAAGGCCAGCCAGAGGATTGAAACAGACCAGCGAGCATTTGCATGATCAAGAAATAGTAAAAGCTATGAACATTTGCCCAGTAACCAACACCGAACAGAGACGTGAACAGTCCTGTTCCGACCATTCCAATGGTCAAGAATATCCTCAGATTCATCCTATCTCCCAAATGTCCCGCGAAGTACATACCGAAAGCGTAAACCGCAAGAAACGCAACGTCGATCTCTCCGAGCAGAACCGTTCCGTTTGGTCCGTTAAACGGAGCCCAACCACCATCTTCTTGTGACTCTTGTCCGGAGGATCGAAACGAAGTGAATCTTAAAAGGAGTGAGTTAAGCCCTGTGTCTGGTGATTGAGGATCAAGCGCGCTTTTCACAATGCTTGTTGTTTTCCTTGCAGCGTGGTAGCTTGCGTAAGCGAGGAACGTCACGATCAAGACTATTGCTTGATATGCATTGTAAGAGAGCTTAGAGCCTTTGGCTCGCTCCAAGAATCGAATCCCCACTGGTTTCTTCACGATCTCTGCCTCAGATTGCATCAGAGTACCCATGAAAAACTGCTTGTTTCAAGTTTCTCTTCTCTCTCTCTTCTCTTTGAGGGAAAAATCCAATCTTTACCTGGAGATAAGATATGAATATGATGAGAAATTAGTAAAATCTCAAGGAGAAGATTCCATTTTTCATATAGAATTATGCTCTGTTTTTCTTTTCTTTTTTGTTCTAGAGAAATCTTCATTGAAAGCTCTTGGCCTTACACAAAGGTTACATTTATGGAGAATCTCTAAAACGTGTCGTAATTAGTGACAGATCATTGTTGTAGACTTGTAGTGTCTCTATTAACTCTCAAGAGAACTACTTGAAGTGAATTCTATTCATTTTTTGATTACTTAATTATTTATTATGCTAAAGCTTATCAGATTTCTTACCTTATATGAACTATGGCCTCTAATTGGTATATTTAAAAGAATATTCTTACAAAACCTGATCGTTCATCGAAACCTCAAACTAAATTTATTAAAAAATCTCGTGAGCCTTTTATATTTTTTTCTTTTTTGCCTCAAATCTCGTGAGCCTTTGAATGAAAAACAAAACCCATCCTTCTTGATATATTCAAATTAGTTTTTTTTATATTATAAACAGAACAGAATCATATTGAGATTCGAATCTAGAAAATGCTAAACAAAATATAAAAAAAAAAACTCTTGGGGACAACGAAGAAAGAGATCTAACGATGAAGACGCACGTATCACGATCTTGAAGAGTTCCTCTTCGAAATCTTTAACAGTCCATGTGGAATATTCCATCGGACGGTTAACAAAATTTCTCGAGAAAATAGAAGAAAACTTCAAAACAAGATTTGACTCAATTCCAGAAGCATTCAAACTAAACTTCCAAATTCGAAAGAACAAAAACAGAGACAGTAGGGAAAGAAAAAAAAAACAGGAAAAAATAAACTGAATTACCTTTGCCAGTTCGTCAAGCTCAGAAGCAAAAACGTTTCCTCTCTCAAGCTCTCTCTTTCTCTCTAGAGAAACTGAAAATTATGGATGTGAAAAAATTTGATGATTGCTTGGAAGATGCAAAGCGACTTGGACACGCTTCTGTGGAGCTCTAGTAATGATTTTAGCATTCGAGTAATGATTTTTATTATTCCTGACTAGTTTTCGGAAATTACGATCTCACCCTTGTCAGTACCAATCATATTGGTCGGATCGTGATTTACGCTTTTACCCTTCCTAGTTGCGTCTCGAGTTGCCAAACCACAAGCCAATGAACGAAGGTTATTTCCTGCGTATTACACACCTAAAGACTCCCTACGCAATTATTTTATTATATGCCTCAAAAAGAAAGCATATACTTATTTGGGCTGGACACAAAATTTCCGATTCAAAATCCAAATGTCAATTGATCCGAAAATAGAATTTTCGAGACTCACCTACTTGGACACAGATAACTAAGATTTAATAATCAAACTAGATTTTAACCCGTGCGTCCGCACAAGAATGTTTTATTTTTTTATTTGTAATATAAGTTGCATTTATCTTTTTTTTAGATATAATTTATTTTTTAAATCAAAAAATTGTTATCATATTTTAATTTTAAACAGTAAAATTTATATATTAGTAGAATAAGAGTATACGTTAATTAAGTATACATTAATCTAATGTTAATTATAAACTTTGTTATTATGTGAATTTATATTTACACATAAACAATCTATATATCTATGAATTTGTTAATCCATCCGTTTAGTTGTCTTAAATTATTATTAATATCTTACATGTTTTGACAAACTAACCCCTATAAAACTATAATTATAATTGTATAATCCTATAAATATTTACTAATATGGAATGTTTGGACTAATTGATTATGAAAAAATATAATAAGATATTTATTTACTATTTGTGCTATTAAAAAAAAAATATATATATATATAAACGGGCTAACCTGTTAGTTTAATTGTCTCAAATCATCTTAATATTTTACATGTTTTAATAAATTAACTCATGGACCTTAAATATATATATATATATATATATATAACTCTAATCAACTCGATCATATTATTGTATAATAAAAATATTTATTAATCTCAAATATTTGATATTTTAGACCGATTGTTTATGAGAAAGTACGATAAATATTTATTTACTATGCATTTTTATAAAAATATTATTTAAATTTAAAATGTTAAATTAAATATTTCCTGTATTTATTAAATTCTAAAGTATTAAAATTATTATTTAAATTTTCGTAATAAAATTAAATTATAATTTTTTTTGAATTTTTTTAATTTAAATTAAATTGAATGCAAATTTTTGTAAGTAAATTTAATTAAATTTCTAATAATTTGAAATTTAAATTAAAGATGACCTAGATTTTAGGAAATATAAAAATATCTAAATTAATAACTAATTTTTGGAAATTAAATATAAAAATAAAATAAAATATTATAAAAAAACTTTGGGAGTGTTTGGATGCAAGCACTAAATATGCTTCTGTTTTAATAGAATAGATTGTTTGTATATGGTAATACATAGATAGTAAATAAGAAAATGCTGTAAAAACAATAAATAGACAAAATATTTAAAACTACTATAAAACTAAAATTATTTCTATAAATTGAAGTATATTTTAAATACCCATTACATATATATTCTAAAATATTCGTAAAAATCAATGATAAATTTTTGTTATATAATACTTTCTATTTAATTTTGAAATTTATTTTACTACTTTTTAAGAATTATTTTAAAGAATTTTTAAGATCGGATCTGGAAAATGTAGGTGCTAAATATTTGTTCTTGGATATCCTAAAATTATATAGTACTGTATCTGATTACTGTCCATTCCAACGATTATATGCTTTTTAAAATACTTAAATTTGCTAGATTTTTTTTTTGTTTGACAAAAATAAATTTTGCTAGTTTTTTGCCACATATATCTATCATCATTACTTATCTTTATACATGTACTAATTATGAAGGAAAATGTCTTTTCAAAAAAAAAAGAATGAAAACTGTCTGAGACTATTCGTTTACTGATCAGAGACTTTGATCGGTGCCGGCCTTTTATCATGACGTCAGGAAATATTTTTTTATACGGAAAACAATATCATTGGGCGTGTTTAAGGCAAATAATATGGTACGAATGTACTATTTATAGATTTATAAATCAAATATGTCTACCAATAAACATGTGTGGTCCTTTCCTCTACCTCGGCGACATCTACTACTATTGCACTCAAGTAATTGTTTTTTTTTTCTGTACATTAGATTATTATTATCTTAAGTGGTATAATAAAATTCTGTGGGAACGTAAAGGCCAACGCACTTAAAACTAGTGGTCTGAACAAAAATTCCCTGTGAAAAATCAATATATTAATGGTCAGAACTAAAATTATTTAAGATAAAACCTATGGCTTTAACCAAATTGGTATCAACTACTTGTTTTCTTTCTCAAATTGGTATCACCGATTTTTTTGTTGTTGTTAAAGACAGACAATTTGTTTTCTCTTCTCGTCAAAAGTTAAAACTGTTGATGTGAAAAAACAATAATAAAATAATATAAAATTGTTGAACTATTGTTTGTATACTCGTTTCTTTTGGTTTGGGCAACCGGGGAAACCAATTTTGATTAATTAGTTTTGGCTGTAAAAGGGACTTAAAAATAAATCCATATGCTAAACATCTTTGAAGATTTGTATAGGTTTATAAATGTGTTCTATTAATATATACTTTTGTTATATAAATGTGTTGAGTATGTAACCTCTTTTGGTGGAGTATTTAAGAGCTATTATTCTTAAATGATCTGTGAGTAGAACTCTAATGATCTGAGTCATATTATTAAATTGGGAGTTCCAAACTCAGGACAATCAAAATCCGTAAAAAAGATAAACGCATCTAATACTTTCTTTATCCATCTTGTTTGCACATAGAAGCATAATCAATGTCGCTAAAGCAAGAAAGATTTGGCTAGTTCAGGATAGACACTTTATGAACATTAATTCGTTCTACAGGCTGCAAGTTCCAATTGAAGTTTAAATCTTTTGTTCCATCGTTGAAGTAGAGTTTTTGTTTTAGATTTATGGCTCTTGTGCTTTTAAACTTTTTAAAAAAAGAGTAAAGTTCGCATGAGTTGTTCAATGTTGTCATAGATGGAATCGATGAATTTTAATATACATCATATTGAAAACCTTTCATTGTTTGAATTACATGAGTCAGTAAAAACTATTTTCTTAGAAGCAAATCATCAATTAGTTTATAGGTTAAGGCATAGTCTTAGATTCTAGAGCAAACCATCAATTAGTTTTCCTCCTTGGTTTTGACTTTATGCCGATACGCAAGTTCTATTACTATATTTATAATTAGTATTAAAACTATAACCATATATAAACCTATTACGTTTCATTTACGAAACAAGCAAAAACGCGCAAATATATACATATTCATAAGAGATGTTGTTAATTGTTATGTGCACGTCAGCACGTATCAGATTTAGACAATGCATAAAGGAAAAAGAAATGGCCTTCGGACGTAAATAAGGGATTCCATTTATTAATAGGTTATAATTTTTGTTTTTTGCTATACAAAATTAAATAAGTAAGTTTTTACCCAACCAAAAAAAAAATAAATAAGTTATAAGAATGGTTAGAGTAATGGTTAGAGCTTCTCAAACTTTATGTTGCACCTCCTTATTCAAAGTTCTTTGCAAATAATTAAAAGCATCAAATATAAGTTGAAATTTAAATACCGACCCAGGTGCTAAATTTGTAGTGGAGTTAATTATGGAAAACTCCTGCCAAATCACCTCCAGAATTAGTTTTTGGTTTTACTCACCTCCAGAATTAGTTTTTGGTTTTACTCACCTCCAGAATTAGTTTTTGGTTTTACTCACCTCCAGAATTGCCGTGGCCTTAGCTCGGTTTTGAGAATTTCACGATCAGATACCCATTGTTAGTCTAAAAAAAAGAAATTATATGATTTCAAACCCTTTCTCACTTTTTTATAATGATTTAACTAACTAATATATCAATAATTGTACAAGGTAGCTTTCAAAAATATCATTTCTGGTTTTTTAAACAAAATTATGACAAGGTAGAAATTTCAAAAAAACTACAAATTTTTTTATAATTAATCTTTCTAAATAACACTTTTGGTATTATTTAATTTTTAAACTATTTATAAAAAACTTTAAAATGAAAATTTTAAAAATATTTTTGATAAAGAATTTTCCAGATTCGTTAATCTTAGGTGGCGTATACATGTTTAAACTTAAAATGTAAATTAGTTTGGTTTGCTTACCACAAAACAAGAAGAAGACTGATTGGGAAAAAAAATAAGAAAGAAAATTTTTCTGTTTTCTTTTTGTGAGAAAGACACTCACTCAGTTTATCTTAGTTTTTTTATGAACCAATTTACCTCTTAGTTTTGCTTTAAGACTTTCATTAGTTCATATAGCTATCATAAAACATGTAGTCTAAAAAAAGAGGCCAGTATTAATGTTGCTTCTCTAAGACAATGAATCACAAACTTAAGAACTAAATTGACGACCAAATAAATAGTCAGTGGAAAAGATTTATACGTATCTCGTCGGCCCTAATGTATTAAATTTCGGTGATAAAGACCTAAACATTGACATACTGTATAACAGACATGTACTAACTACGTTGACATATTTTATTTACCTCAGCAAGTGAATATAGTTGTTAACTGTATGATATTAATCTTTCTAAAAAAAGTATGATATTATATATAAAAATTGCGATTGAATCCCTTTGAACCGTTTTTAAAATTCAGATATACTTTTCATAGTAAATAAATCACATTTTAACAGTAAACCATCAATATCGAATGACAAATAGATTGCTGAATAAAATCAGGAAAATAATCAAAAAAATCATACAAAAGTTAACAGAATGAAAAAATGTGGACCATTTCCTAGTTATATGAAAAAAAATTATATCATAATACCTTTGTATAAATACTTTAGAATATGGATCTTGGTGGAATGTGATGATATAAGATGATGTAATACGAGCTGCAAAACGCCATCCGTGTGGCATGGCAGGCTGGCAGCCCACGTGCCACGCCGTTCTCCAACTC